GCCATCACCAGCAGCCGACGCGCCACCCTGCACAGCCAGCAGCACCGCAGCATTCATGCACGCAGACAGCGGACCTCCTTCCTGCCTTTGCAGGCCCTCAAACACATCTACCACGCGCCTCTCAACGCGCTGCTGAGACTCACTCCCGTTCACCCCAAACAGGGGAACCATCAGGTTCGCTTGCGCGCCAACAGACTCCACGCCCCGCAGCTGTCCAGATAAAAAAAACCCACGAAAAACGGCGGAATGGAGCAAGCGTGTGTGATCAACAATGCTCAGGGTGTCGTGGCCGTCCCCCAGCAGCCGCTGCTCGCCCTGCCCCATCGCACCGGTCGTGCCCAAAATGCCCCGCAGTCGGCCGCCGGTGAGCAAAGAGCGCATGACAACAGCATCAAGCCATTGCACAAGTAGCTCCTCGGCCACGACGCTCGCGTTGCCGCCCGTTACCGCCTCGACGTCCCCCCCAGCACGCTTGCAGGCAAGACCTGTGTCACAAGGCGTGTACAGAAAGCCATTCACCAGTAGGACGCACAAAGAAACATCCGGAGTGCTGCCAAGAATGGACTCACACAAGGAGTCTAGATGCGCCCGCGTCGTCGGTGTGGCCGACCGCCATCCCAGCAACACCTCCACCACGTCGCCATACTTGCTAAGGTCGAAAACCGCATCCGGGGCGCCGTCGCACAAAGCGGCAAGGCCCCCGACCACGCGTCCACAGCTCCCCCCGTCGGCCGCGGTCGGACAGGCCACCGCCCCTTCAGCGGCTCGCGCAGCCAGCATGCCTGCCCTCTGCTGTGAAAACGCAACATAACGCGCGTTTCGAAGAGCCCCCATCTCCGCAAGCGCAACACCGGTCGCAATCCTCCGAAGCGCATCCTCCTCCGCGTTGTCGCGCTCCACAAAACCTCGCACTTCGTCGTCAAGAGCCCTCGTTTTCTCTGTGTACTCATGCAACAGCCGCTGTATGCTGCACGCCTCGGCACATATGGCGCGAGCGAACACACGCACATCGAAAGGCTCGCTTTCAGCTGCCCGCTCCGGTGCGAGGTCGACCTCGTCGGCAGGCCCCATATCAAGCCCTTCCGCAGCCACACAAAACAAGTCCGGTGACAGGAGAGGAATAACAAAAATATAAACTCCACTAGCAATCCACCGTACGCTCGTCAGCAAGACAGACCGCACCGCCAACTGCAAAACACCATTCGCGCCGCGCATCCAAAGAAACAAACCAAAGCAAAGCCACCCAAACAAAGGAAAAACAAAACAAAGCAGAGCTATATACAAAGCACATAAAAGAAACTATCGTACATCCCCCCCACCACCGCACACCGCACACTCTTACGCGGCGGCACTGCTGTCCACGACAAACACCAGGGTGTCCTTGTCGTGGGAGAGGGTCAGCGTATCACCCTCGCGCGAGACGCGCATCCCCTGTTCGAATCCGGCGCCAAGGGCACGCTCCACGTCCATATGGAACGGTGGCCCCATCATCCTAGTCGACATGAGCATCCCAGTAAGTCTGCCGTTTTCGTACCTCAGGGTGCCGTTCATTGTGTTGGCCACCTTCGCATGAACCCGCACTTTATCTCCGTCCGCCTCCAGCGTCAGAGAGGGAACATCCCACTCGCCCTTTTCGGCGCCCTTTCCGTTCAGCTTGCTTAGCGCGTACTTTCC